TTAAATCGGCCTCTGTTATTCTACTAGCAATTTTTATCTCTTCATCCTCTGTTGAAACATCACTTGAATCTATAGCATCATTCGCACTAGTTGTTTTGTCAAAAGACGCTTTATTTTCAGTTTTTCGAGAGCCAAACGCTAATAATGCATCTGCTTTTTCTCTTTCCTTTTTTTCTCTCCACTTTTTTTCTGCTACGCTACCCTTTTTAAAATAAAAATCCACGGGAAATGGAGGAGAATGTATATGTTCTAATCGTTGCTGATATAAATAATATTCACGTTCAAAGGGGTGTGGATCTCTAAGAATAATAGGAGCACGCGACAAAACTACACCGGCTACTATTCTGTATCCTTCGTGTACCAGGGCCGGGAAAACTCTATTATAGGTCCCCGCCATAAAAAAAAAATTATTCTTATTCTTTGAGAATCAGGCTTTTTTTTTATAGTTAAGCGCGAAAATTAACTAGAACATTTCGAGTGGAGACTAATCGATTGATCGATTGGAAAATTTTTAACCAACTAATCGTTGATTGATTATCTACATAAATTTGCGTTTAAGATCAGGTGTAACATGAAGAACAAACGCTAAAGCGGAGAACTACCCCAACAACACCCCGAAAATTCTGCGATAATAAAACTCTTAAAAGTTGTTAATACTGGGGTTAGAGATTATATTAGTTTTGTTATTGATGTAATATATAGTAAAATCGCTCAAGGAAAACTTTTTGTTAGAACACTAAAGATGGTTTCCTATGTAGATTTTTGAGTTATGGGCGATTATTGGCAAAAAGAATGGTTGTTTTTAATTTTTCGGATTGTGTTACATTACACCTGATCTTCAACTGTGATTGGCTCGTAGTCACATACTTCTTCCATTTACCATCTCTCTTGTTTACTACTACTGGTTCTTCTGCCTCTCTTTGCTCCCTCAACAATCTGTCTATTGTTTTTCCAAGTTCTAAATTACTTTTCTGATATAGTTCTTGCTACTGATCCTTATAATTCTTAAAATTTTTAGCCTTTCATTCCAAATCTGTATTTTTCTTCTCTAAATAACTAATTCACACTCTTTTCCTAAAAATATAAATTAATTATGAATAAATGTATACATCACACTATGTGATGTACTGGTATATTGCACCTCAATATAAACAAAGTTAATTGCAAATCTGTGAAACATAATATTACATCAAATTAATTTTTATATATAGGTTAATGTTGATAATTAGAGGTTAGGATAGAGTAGTGTACCTATGAACTGAACTAAACTGAACTTTTGGCCAAGTTCAAGTTCAGTTCAAAATTGAACTGAACTTGAACTTTTTTT